AACTATCTGACCCAAAATGTGAATAGTGCCAAATTGAGAAACTGTAGTCCAGTGTTATGTAGCTTACTCACAGAAGTCTAACTCAGATATTTGTATTCCGGGAATCCCTACTCTTCTCAAGACCACCTACCACTGTTGTGAGGACCTGCCTTGAGTATTGGGCATCTGGAGTGATATACAATATAATCTCTTCACTAAGAGAAAGAAACATGAATTCAAATCTCTTTGTACAATGTACTAGCTGTGAAAACTGAGATGGGTTATAAGTGATCCATGAACTTTTTTTCTCAACCACAAAATCATTATCCTAGAACTAATGGGAGATTAATTGGTCTATCACATGTACAGTACATGGGAGAGTATCTAGCACAGAACTATCTATCTCTTCTACCCTTCTCAATCTTCTCTATCCTCTGTCTTCAACTTCAGTGCTCAGTAATTCTCCTATTGTCTCCAGTATGAGCATTTTTAATCTCACTAGTAGCCTTCAAGACTAACTTCAAATGAAGTAATGTGGAGTTTCACAAAAGATCTTAGGAAAATAATGAATCATGAAGAATGGCAAACCTTCCCCAGAAAAACTGTGAAACTGAAAAATAATCTTTTGAGACAGGGAATATGGATGGTTCAGTAGAAATTCCTGAAATATATACATAAAGACTCTAGTTTGTTTCTTAAGAGATACAGCCAAATTTTGACTGTACACCAGAGTTAAAAGGGCAGAGAATTCTGTGTGCAAAAATGGAACCCTCAAATAACTCTCAGTCATATTTCAGACTAAACATTTGTTCATCTGGGGATATAAGCTTTACCCAGGCATCATTATGAGCTTTACCTAATGAGAGCTCACCCAATCCTTCTCCATGGAGCCCTTGGGTCATACTTAGAATACTTCAACGGATTTACGTGTACTCCAGAAAACTCATGGTCTATGCTGTTCCCTCCCAATGTACAGTAGGATCTACCCAATCCTGAAAGTATAAAAGTAACTTTTAGGGATGAGTGGATTCTAAAGCCATTTTGGGGGCTCTGGACTGAGAATAGGTCAAAGAATTATATTCAGAATCTCTGAAGAAGAGCTTATATGTCTGAGGAAGCTGCCAGACAAAAGCGGATATGGCTTCCAAAAAGCATCTCCAGGGTACCTGTGGGTTTCCACAGTTTCGAGAAGAAGCCAAGGTCTAAGATCTAGTGCTGATAAGGGTGAGAAGGCACAGGAACTGCAATACACTGTTGGTCAGGATCTACCCACTACTTTGGAAAACTGGCAGCTCTTCATAAGGTTAAACAAGGAGTTGTGATTAGCCCAACAATTCCACTCTTGGGTACAGACCCAAGAGATATAAAAATGTCTGGGTAAAAATTTATACAGGAGTGTTCCTAACAGCCAAAAGGTGGACATAACCCAGAAATCCTTCAATTCTATGAATAGATAAATAAAGTGATATATCCATACTCTATTTTAGGGCAATAAAAATGAATGAAATAGAGATACAAGATATAACTTGGGTGAATTTTCAAAATGGTGAAAGAAGTCAGTCATGAGCGATCACATTTTGAATGATTCCATTTATCAGAAATAAACAGAAAAGACAACTCCATAGAAACAGTAGATTAAGTAGGTTAGTTATTGCCTAGGGTATAGGATTTCTTGCCAGGTGGTTAAAGTGTTCTAGAACTGACTGTGGTGATGGTTATACTACTCTGCATATGCTAAAACCCACTGAATTAGGTATCTTAAATGGTGACTTGTAGGGTAGGTGAATTACATCTCAATAAAGGTATTTAAAGAGGAGGCAGAGGAGAAGAAAGAGAAGAGGGAGAAGAAGAAGGAGAAGGACAATCATATATGTTTTCAAATGCTAGAGGCCGAGTCTCTCCAAATCATCTCAGCTCATTAGCTATGTCAGCAAGTAAAAGGCCTCCTCCCTTACTCTTTACTAGGGATTTTGACTGGATCTGGAAATCAAGTTAACATAACATAGTAGAACAAGAGAAAAGAATACAAGTTTTATGAATTTTACATGTACATGGTGACTTCCATAAGACAGTGAAATCTGAAAACATGGCCAAAGTAAGATGATTTTATACATCCTCAGACAACAAGTAGTAAATCTGAGAGCGGCAACAAAACAAAAGCAAGAAGTGTGGGGAAACCACAGAAAGTGACTACTTGGAAGGGAGTTAACGGAGCAAGCTTTACCTGGAAGTCCTCTGGCACCTGGCTCTGAGCTGATGAAAGCTGTCTCCAGCAAAGAAGGGTTTATGTCCTATCTGTAGGAAGGAGAGGGAGATGCAGAAAGTATTCCTGAATTTTAACTTTCTTCAGCTCAACAAACTTTAATACTCTCAAGAGAAATATTTCAATTTCCTTCACCTTCTAAGAAGTGATAGAACCTGGGGCTTACATGTGTGGGCTCTGGAGTCACAGCGAATGAACTGGATCACACAGATTGGCCACTGTACTACTGTGTTACTTCCTGGGTGGGGACTTTTGGAATCAAGGTAGTGTGTTCTGAGGTGTCTTCTAATTGCTTCTTACTTTAGCATGCATCAGACCTCCGGAAGTTTTATTAAAATACCCTTTACTGGATTCTATTCCCAGAAGGTCTGACTCAGTGTGTTGAATAAGTCCAGTGAATCTGCATCTCTAACAAGTTTCCAGGCAAGGCTGATGCTGTGAGTCCTACAACCACACTCTGCTGATCTCTTACTTCATCCCGAGGCCTACTTGGCATAATTTGCAAATAATAGCAGAAATCCATAATGCAAACCAGTTATGTGTGCAATAACATTAAAAACATTACAAATAGTTTGTGTATCAGTTTCTACGTGTTGATTTATAATTTGTAATGAAATTACAAATTTTAATGAAATGATGGAAAGAATTGCACAATAGGACTTAGAATGTGTGAAGTCATAATCCTCCTGGATGTAGGAATTTCAGCTAAAACATCCTCTGACCATAGTTTCCTCACCTGTGAAAAGTAAATCCCAATAATGCCTCATTAATATAGAACATAAAGTTGTGGGGTAAATAGTATAACAATCTGATGAAAAGACATGATAAACTATATATTCATTAAAAACTTAGATTCTCAACACTGCTGTTGGAAACCATGAATCCTCCAACTCCCTTAGGGGCCCCGGCAAGTTCTGGAGCCCTTAGATACTGCATAAATTAGGTTGCTTTCAGCACTAAATAACAAGAATCTACATCTAAATGGACCCAGAGTATAAAGATGTTGACCTTCAAATTACAGAAGTAATGGCAGTTCTACCTGCCATAGAAGAGAGATCTGCAGAAAATAGAAACCATACACATATTGAGCTGGATATGGTGCTGAACGTTGGTGATCCCAGCACTCTAGGAGGCAGAGACAGAAGGGTCACAAGCTTGAGCTCAACCTGGGCAACTGAGCAATTTGCTGAGAACCTATCTCAAAATTAAAATTTAAAAGGGCTGGAGGAAGTGGGGAGGAAAGGGAGGGAAAGAAAATGGAAAAATGGGGATTAAAAATGGAAGCAGAAATTTACAAATGGGAAAAGGGCCAAGAAATGGAAGAAGGAGGGAGAGACGGCAAAAGTAGGGAACAGAAAAAGAATTAAGATGTATTCTGTACCTGTACGGACTTTCCATGATGAATACAATCAGTATGTACTGCAAACATGTACTAATTTAAAAAATGTATAATATGAATTTTCTCAAGTTTCCCAAGTTCAATTCTAAGTTGAAGTCCCCTCATTTGAGCTTATACCTGTGGCTACCTAAACTTTATCACTCTTAATTGTCATCCAACTTAGTTGACACAACTTAGTTGTCAGCCTGTTATTTATTCATATAAAAAATAAATAACAGGCAAAAAGATAAAAAGGGGACTCAGTGTGAAGGATGTGGCCTCATTTCCCAGTACTGCAAAATTCAAAAACATAAAAAGTACAATCCAGATCCTAGGTATTTATCCAAATGAAATAACTATTCACATGAAATCTACACAGAATTATAACAATTTGTGTCATAATTATTTCTATGTAGTTGTACGTAATGCTCAAAAACTGGAAACAACACCCTTGTCTTTCAAATGGTAAATGTATAAACAACCTGTGGTACATCCATATGTGGGATAATACTCAGGGATCAAAACAATGAACTACTGACACACACGTCATGAATGAATCTCCATAGTGCTGTGCTAGGTGGGAGAAGAATGCACAGGACTGCTTTTGAGGGCTGGGGATATAGCTCAACAACACAAACACCTACCTGGCAGGCTCAAGGTCCTGAGTTCAATTTCCAGTACCAAAAAAAATTCCAAAAAGACTGCATTTGATGTTGTTACTGGCTTTGGGGTCCTGAAGAAATTCTTTCCAGGTTCTTCATGTCCTGAACAAAGAATTGGACAAAACACACAGAAAAGGTAATGAGGACTTATATTTGACATGCTGGGATAGGTGAAACTACAGGGACAGAAAGCAGATAGCTGGTTACCAGAGAGTAAGTATGTGAAAAGATTCACTATGGGGGAAGATAGATTGGTGGACCTGTTCTTTCTTTATGGTACTGCTAACATGCCTATACACCAAACACTTAGAAAGGTGTTTATCTGTATATGTGTACATTGTACCTTAATGCAAAACAATACTCAATGTGAAGGCTGGAGTATAAGTACAGGCGTGGGTGGGACATCAGGGCGAAGTGCTGTGAGATGACAATGATGCTACTGCTGATCAGTCTTTTTAAATAAATTCTTCTAAAGGGAGTAAAGCAGCTGGCTCTCGTCACCTGCTATAAAGTTATTCTTTCTCCTGCAAAGTTCTTTGACTTACATGTTCCCTGCGTATTCCTAAAATTCCACCTTAAGACAAGCTGAGTATACTCATGGCCAAATTCTCTGCATGGAAAAGTTTTGCTTAAGCAATGACACACTGCATCTGGATCCTTTGCACCAACATCTGGAAGCCACATGTCTGCAGCAGCTGTATAAAAGTCAGCCCAGCAAACCTAGGGTGACACTTTTTGCCAAAAAGCCAGGCAGCATGGAACTCACTCTTCTCTGGGTGCTTCTGCCACTGGTCACTGTGGTCTGGGGCCACTATGGTGACTACGGATACCCATACCAGCAGTACCATGACTATGGTGATGATGGCTGGGTGAATCTGAACCGGCAGGGCTTCAGCTACCAGTGTCCCCATGGGCAGGTGGTGGTGGCCGTGAGGAGCATCTTCAACAAGAAGGAAGGTTCTGACAGACAATGGAACTATGAGTGCATGCCCACGCCCCAGACCCTCGGGGAGCCCACGGAGTGCTGGTGGGAGGAGATCAACAGGGCTGGCATGGAATGGTAAGGAACAGATGCTGTACTTGGGCTGGGATATCTCACAGCTGGGATATCTCACACCGGCAGGAAGACCCTTGACTCTTAGGAAATAGCAATGCCTGTAACCAGGACAAATCCTACCTGGACCAGATCCTTACACGGCATGCTCTGGGTGGGGCAGCACTCTCATGGAGCAGACATTATAGGACAAAGCCTGGGATGAGGGTGTTCATGGCAGATGGAGACTTTTGTGAATCTGTTCATGCCAGAGGCAGCTCTATTCTTGGTTTTATCCAGGGGCTGGTATCAGTCTGCAAAGCATTCACCAGACTGCAGAAAACAACAGGTATAGAAATTGAAATTCCTTAAGAAAATTTTCAGTAATTTAACATTGCTGTAACATCAGAGTGACATGTTCATTTTGAAGTGATTTGTTTATATTCTGTAACAGAAGTATTAGTCCACAACTGTTTGGGGAGAATTAGCAATTGAGCCCTCAGCAGAGATAGTATGAGAAATATTGATTTAGAGCAAGTGAATAGGGAGAGGACAAAGAAATTGAAGCAAAGGGATCTGAAATTAAATAGTTTTCTGTTGCTCTGATTAACTGTGTTCTCTCTCAATTATGAGTACTGAGATTTTTTCCTCTGTCTGAATTTAAAGTGGCTTCTGTGGTTGGAACATAGTTTACTAAAAGCTTTTACAGAGAGGTTCTGTCTGTCCTTGTCTTCACTCTGCTCTAGGCAAGGTCACAAAATGGTCCCAGGTTGCACTTCTCTGTGCAGGGTGACTGTCCTAGCTGGGCCCCAGCCCTGCTTGTTGGTCAGAGCTTGTCCTAGTAGCCACTGATTGTCAACTAGTTATTCATGGGCACCCAGTGCAGTCTGGACTGCAGTGGGGAGAAGGTGGAGGCCAACACTTGGGGAGACAGGGCAGGAAGAGGGAAGCCCAGCTGGTAGGCTGCCACAGGGGATGTGTGTGGAGCAACTCCGTGAGGGACTGGGAGCGGTCAATCACAAAACCCTAAAGGTGCTTTCACCTGACAGAGTGCCAGGAGGTTCCCACGGAGATAAGAAACTTAGACCCACTCTACCCATAGAATTAAGTTGCAAGTTCGCTGACTCCTGTTGTAGAAAAAGAATTTTCCAGATGTGTCAGTAAAAGGCACAACGGGATCTATTAGGCAGAAATTTGAAAGTACACACACAAAGAAATTGAGTACACACCCTCAAGAAAGGCAGATTATGAAATAGGGAGCTGGGTATATTTGTGTGGTCTTGGGTATGTCTTCAGGATGGGGGATCTGGGATGTGTGTTCCCACTGTCTGTCATGTCAGCCATCCGGCAGACTGTGTCTGGATGTAAACCATCTGTATGCGTTTGAGGTTGAGATATGTTGCTCATTAATATTCCTGCTTCCTTGGGGGAGCAAGAGGAAGCACAATTTACAGGTAAAAAGAGGTGGTCTACACACAGATGATAAGGCCAATTTGCAAGTGAAAGGAAGTTGCTTAGTCTTACTGTGTCTTAGGATGAGACAAAAAAAATTTAAATTGGACTTGAGTAACTTTTGTGTCCTGAAGCTGCAGTTTCTCTTAGCAGTACAATTTTAAAATTATGCTTTTCCTTGCCTCCTTTCTACCTACCTTTATTTTTTCTATCCTACCTTGGTCCAACAACTAGAAATCCCAGAAGAAAAAATGCTATTAGGTGAAGGAGCTGAACAAAAGAGGGATTTCTCAGAAAAACAGCTTTCAGTCATTGAGTGCTTATCCTGTGCCTGTCCCATGCTGGACACATAGGGATTACCTCATTTAGTGCTCACAACAAATCCATAACTCACTTTTAGACGGAGAAACTGTGGTTTAGAGATCGAGTGTTTCTTCTTGGCTGGAAAGCTGGATTTGGATACAGAAAGTCTTAACTCCAAAGAGTACATGCTTAGCCACTAGGGTGGATTCCCAAGAGCCAACTGTCCCAGCCCAGTGTCAGCTCCAAGCACGCAGCTGCCTCTCCATCAGCAGAGCCAAGGTCACAGACCAGACTCGATATTGGGGATGGAGGGACGGTCCTGCAGGATCTTGACAGAAGCCCAGTCCTGGAGGGGCTCAGCTTGGTTACCATGACCAAGAAGGGGCCCAGCAGCCCTCACAAGGGGTGGGCAGAGGGTTTCAGAGGCAGCTGCGGGTTGGGGACCGGGGCTGCAGAAACTGCTGGGACAGCCTATCTTGTGCCTCTACATCCACCCCTCCTGCCTCTGGCAAGCATATTAAATGACTCCAAGCCCCTTCAGACAGATGGCTGACTCAGAGAGCAGGCTGGCCCCAGGACAGACTCCAGTGACTCCCCACAGCCTAGCATGGAGTGTGACAATGACCTAGTTACAACTCTCTCTCTAGTCCTCCCATTTCAGTGGACCTTCATGTGGACAAAGCCTCTTTTAACACCTCTTTTTAGAGCCACAGTAAAACAGCGTGCACAGAAGATTCCTCAGACCTTAAAGAGGGATCCCTGGGCTGAGTCAGAAGGCCTGGGCCTGGATCACGACCTTGACCCAGGGCTCAGCTCTCCAGGCTCCCACCCCATTTGGAAAATGAGCAGTCCGACTGCATCATCTGGAAAGGCTCCTCAGGGCTGCGGCTCATGCTCAAAGTGAACTTGGGTTTTTCTCACGTTCACATTCCTGTGTTGATCCCGGTGAGGGAGGGAAGCCAAACGGTGTTTAGTTTCGAACTTGCCAAGTGGTGACTGGTTTGTCATGAAGTTCTAAAATATCTTAAGAAAAGCAAAAGAAGAAGAAGGTGAAAACGCATGTTTTTGTTTGGCCTGTGGGGGTGTAGCGGAAAGCATACCCCTTCTGCCTCCTCCTCCTCTGTGTTTGTGGGAGACAAGATGGAGACATTTTTCCTTTCCTCTCTGTTGCGACCTTCTCCCTTCCATTAATCATAGGGCTGAAAACTCACAAACAAGCCAAGCAGCTTCTTTAATAAAAGGCTCAGCTCCCCCGGAATGAGCCCAATCCGCTCCCCAGGCATTTTTCTAGGTGGTTACAATTTTGAGTTCAGACTCTAGTTTCAGTGAAAAATTTGGAAGGGAAGCAATTGCTCACAGTCTGGGAGAAATGACATCTTCCATGGCTGCAGCCTCTTAATCTGTTCGGTGGGGGGGGGGAAGAGGAGTTGTTGATGGTTCTGTGCAATTTGGCTGCCTTTTATAAGCAAATTAGGTTTCAGGTTTATTTTAAGTGGAAAGGGAGTCTGGGAATACAAACCTGACAATAATATGTAGGAACTGCTGAAGAAACTTGCTAATGGGGCACTGTCTTTAAAAGGTACAGCCACCATTGCTGAGTCACCTATAATGCTGCTCTTTGTCACAGTGTCTGTGCAGAAGAGCATCTCTTCAGATGCCAGGCTCTGAAGCAGGGATGCGGGCCTCCACCACAGCCACTGTTGGGAAACCAGCTGGAGTGTGGACTTATGGGCCCTGTGTGAAACAACAGGAAGCTGGAATGTTCTAGTGAAGCTGAGCTGTCCTGTGGGCAAGCAGCACTGGGCTGGGTATCGGGAAACTGGGCTGGGTTCACTGTTGTAGGTTGTATGACCTCTGAGTGCTGTGGCTATAGCAGCCCAGCTTTTCATCCTGATAAAGAGAAAGGGAAGACAAGAAAGGTGTGACCCACTTCACCCGCTGTGGGCAGTGTTCCTGTGATGCTTATAGAACAAAACCCTCAGGGAAATCTAACTTCAAAACAATGCTTGCCACATGGTATCCTAAGAATAGACAGCCAATAAAGACAGACAACGTGGAATTTTGGTGAGGCTCCCATTGGGCAAGCAGTCTTGCATGGAGCTGTGTTAGAGGAAGAGTGCTCTGTGTATTTATACTTTTTCCCCTCCTGTGCTACAGAGAATCCCACTAAGATATTCTCAAGCATCAGTTTGTCTTTGAGTTGATTTTATTTATTCATCATTGACAACCTACATCATACAGAAAAGAAGAAAATTATCCCAAGAGCTTTGTCAGTATCAAGGTAAATTTGAAGCTGGATCTGTTGGGCAGGAATTCAGTTTTCCAGAACCTAAGTGTAATTAAGACTAAGGTTTCATGAACTACAGAGCAATCGTCCCACTTCATGGTTCGAGTATTTAGTACACACTGCACCCATCTTTTCTCAACCAACTTCTCCCACGCTCTACATGCTTTTTTCCTGCAGGGCATGCATCACTACTGGGTTTGTATTTGTTTATGGTTTGTCAAAATGTAAGCTTCATGAACACAGGGACTTTGTCTCATTCACCACTGTATCTCCAATGACTAGGACAGACCTGGCACATAATGGATCCCCAGTAAATATGTAGTGAATCACTGAATCAGTCTTGGTCAGTGTTTCAAATCCCAACCAGTGTTCCTACCATCCTCAACAAAGAGGCCAACAGTTTTTCCCACAGGGGAAGCCACTTTGCTTATGTCTTTGATTCTCAATATTCTTACAGCTATAACATGGGGCTCAACTCTAATGTTTATACCTCATTTTATCTTGTTGCATTTACCAGCATGCAGGGTGGTTTTTGAGATTTCCTGAGTGTCTCTAAAGTATGCACAGAGGATGGCCAATATTCTGTCACTGAAAGAGGAGTTCCTTATGAAGATCATATCTTCTCAATAATTTAATATCTCAATACACCCCAAAAATAGAAGTCTTGATTTCAGAGACCATGAAGACTAAATGCTACATGGTATCCTGGTTTGGATCATGGTATCACTTTAAAAATTGGTGAAATCCAAAAAAAGCCTAGAGTTTAGGGTGGTGCTGTGTTAACTTTGCAGTGTTCCTGACCGTGCCTGAATTGTGAGTGCTAGCACTAGGGAAAGGGTAGACATGAATTTTATTTATTTTGTTTAGATTTCTTGGTTTTTTGAGACAGGATCTCACTACATAGTTCAGGCTGGCCTTGAACTCACTTTGTAGTCCAGGTTGGCCTCGAACTCACTGCAAGCCTCCTGTTTCAGCCTCTGGAATG